TGCCCCATCCCCATTCTGGGACGGGATCTGCTCTCCAAATTTAAGGCAGCCATTTCGTTCCAGTTACCCATAGTTGAATCTGCTTTCACCTGGTCCTCCCCAAGCCAGACCCCCATAGCCATAACCTCCCATTGCCACCTGACATGATAGACCCAATAGTGTGGGATACTTCCTCCCCCTCAGTCACAGCCCTGCCGCCGGGAGGGAGTGGCCGCAGCAGGGACGGAGAGGGCGTGGCATGGCGGGGAGGAGCCAGGGGTGGGCCGGGGCTGGAGACACCAGAGTCCCGGAGGCCAGAGCAGCGCAGAGCCGGGACATGCCGAGCTCCCACAGGTGCCTGCCATGGGCTGGCACAGCTAGGGTGCCCGGCGCAGGAGAACGCCAGGGCGGCGGAGGCAGATGGCGACCCGAGCGAGCCCCATGCCCCGCACGGGCTGAGCTGGACCCGACAGGATCTGCTGGAGCGAATCTGCCTCAGAGACAATCAGATCGGCTCCGTCCAGACAGAACGGCGTGGGGAGTCTCTCTGGGCAGGCAGATGGCGGTGGCGGGACTGGGGCTACTGGCACCACCGCAAGCGGCCTAGGCGGGGACAGTGCTGGCAGTAGGAAGGCAGTGGCGGGAGCAGAGAAGCCCTGCAGAGCTTCTACACCTCCAGCAGCAACAGGCCCTCGCCCCTGATTCAACTTCCCTCTCCCTGGCCCCCAGCTCTGTCCTCCAATATGTTGATGATCTCCTCCTCTGCAGCCCCTCACTCGATCCACCCCCTACCCCTCCTGCGTTTTCTTGTTCTCCTCTAGGGCCTACCCGGCTTAAGCTGACCAGGATTGCAGAACATCCTTCCCCCATGGCCAAAGCCTCACAATAGGTCATCATACCTGAGGCTGAGTACCTGTGCCCCTTTATTGACTATATCTTTCCCTGCCTTATTCATTTTGATATTAATTCTGTGTGCCCTTTTGATATTTGGTGTTGGTCTGACAGCTGCTACCCCTAGCTGTTGGAACAAAAAGGAAAATGCTGTCTTTTCATGTGTTATCTAGGTGCACAGGGTTTTCTGATCTTCTTATCCTGTCTAGAGTAGGTTTTTTCTGCCCTCTCCTACTCTTTTCCCTGCTATGTCCTCTGCCCCTTCCGGCTGCCAATCATTGGACCTTTGAGTTATATGTCTATAAGCCAAAGGATGACAGGTTTGATGCCCCAAAACGCTTGATTAAACTGGTAAGGTGAGAACCCAAAGGGCACCCCCTCTCAGTTACCGTTGATGCCTGCCGCCACCAACACTATGGCTGGCCGGGGGTCGCTTGTAGGGGAGTCAAAAGAATAACACTGGTGTTCCGAATGATACTGCCTACTTTCCCTACCTGTCAGCCAGGGAGCCTTCCTTTTTGCTCTCTACTTTCTAGCTCAATCTCAAAAGATAAGAAGAGAAATGATTACCCCTCCCAATTGTCAGTCATGTCCCCAAGGACAATGCAATCTTCTAAAATTCACCATTCTGGATCCTTGGGCCCCCAAATGGTGATAGGGTCAATCTGTTTCAGTACAACAACTTTAATTTCTGAAAAAATCTCCCTCCTCGGGCCTCCAAACCTTTATAGCGAATGGTCCTTAGTGGGTGCTCTATATCCAAAAGACCTGGACCATCCCCCAACCAAAGCTAGGTGACAGTCCCCAGATTCCTCAAAGGGACCCCAATTCGCCTTTTTGTCGCTAACACCTTTCAAGTGGAACTTACTGAATTCTTCCCCTGCAACCTCCGGCTGCCCTCACAGTGGTCCTGTTGTCCACAGACCTTTTACCCTCCTCTTGCCACTCCTCTCTCCCTGTTAGATTTGGCCATCCTGGCCGTTGTCACTGCTCCTAAAGAACTGGCACTCTGAGAGTTCCATGTCTACCAAGGATGGCAGCGTCTATGAAAGCGTGGCCGACAAGAGCACTGCAGGGGTTCCCGCCCTATGTCAACTTCCCAGCCAGGCCCCACTCCCCCCAAAGCTCCGTCCCAGATCAGCAGGAAGTAGATACGGAAGAAGAGACCTCTGCCTCAATTCCATAGCAAATCAAAGGCTGGGATGTTAGGTACTTCAGAGCCCTCACAGAGCAAGCCCCCTCCTCCCCTTTTCTCCATGCCCTACTCTGGCCACAGGGAACAGGGAACTTCTGCACAACTAAGGCATGACTTCCCTTTGTTAGTGACTCTCTGCCTAGTTAAGGACTTTCTGCCCCACTGGTTTCCTGGTCAGATGTTCCAGTAAGATAGGGGCTTCCTGAACATGGTTACTCTATCCCCCTAACTGAAACCTGTTGCTACATACCCCAGCCCCAGTCACCCACCCCCCACCACTGGAGTAGGGCTCTCCCACCTGCAAAACCCCATATAAACGTCCAGTTCAGCCCATACTGTGGCTGATCTCCCTTCTGTGAGTCAGTCCTGGCAGGCTGCAGACTGCCGCCTTAATAAAGGCTTGCTACCTGAACCTCTGTGTGTGCCCCCTTCTTCAGCCAACCTTTTAGTCCCTAAACAGACTTTCTTGAGGCTGTAGATTCCCTATGCTTTCCTCCACTGTGATCATGCTTACTTGCTCAATCGTCATGGGTGCAGTACCTTAAATGAAACTGACAGTGGATAAGGGAAATTAGGATGTTCCAGAAATCTCAGAAAGAAAT